GCAGTTTTAAAAAACAAAACATGTACATGTACATGTACATTTACATGCACTTGCATGTACATCACTACATCCCACTGGCGGGCCTGTGCGGGTTGCGTGTCCTTTCGGAAAGACTTGGATCTTTTTTTCCATGAAAAGTGAATTTCGATTTTCAATTATTTAGCTTGACCCACCCACCCACAATTTGGAAAAATAGTCGAAATTTTAAAACATTGAAAATTCTGAATGGCCCCTAAGTGGCACCACCAACGTCAAAAAATAGCGCCCCCCCCAAAAAAAAAAATAATAATAAAAAAAAAAAAAAATACTACTACAAAGGGGCCATTCAGAATTTTCAATGTTTTAAAATTTCGTCTTTATTTCCAAATTATTTTGACCCACCCACCCACCCCTAATTCCGATTTATAAAAAAACTGATTTGTTACGCAGTATTAAAAAACAAAACATGTACATGTACATGTACATGCACTTGCATGTACATCATTACATCCCACTGGCGGGCCTGTGCGGGTTGCGTGTCCTTTCGGAAAGACTTGGATCTTTTTTTCCATGAAAAGTGAATTTCGATTTTCAATTATTTAGCTTGACCCACCCACCCACAATTTGGAAAAAAAGTCGAAATTTTAAAACATTGAAAATTCTGAATGGCCCCTAAGTGGCGCCACCAACGTCAAAAAATAGCGCCCCCCCCCCCAAAAAAAAACCAAATAATAATAAAAAAAAAAAATACTACTACTAAGGGGCCATTCAGAATTTTCAATGTTTTAAAATTTCGTCTTTATTTCCAAATTATTTTGACCCACCCACCCACCCCTAATTTCGATTCATAAAAAAACTGATTTGTTACGCAGTATTAAAAAACAAAACATGTACATGTACATGTACATGTACATGTACATGCACTTGCATGTACATCACTACATCCCACTGGCGGGCCTGTGCGGGTTGCGTGTCCTTTCGGAAAGACTTGGATCTTTTTTTCCATGAAAAGTGAATTTCGATTTTCAATTATTTAGCTTGACCCACCCACCTACAATTTGGAAAAATAGTCGAAATTTTTAAACATTGAAAATTCTGAATGGCCCCTAAGTGGCGCCACCAACGTCAAAAAATAGCGCTCCCCCCCCCCCCCCAAAAATACTTCTACTAAGGGGCCATTCAGAATTTTCAATGTTTTAAAATTTCGACTTTATTTCCAAATTATTTTGACCCACCCACCCATTCCTAAATTCGATTTATAAAAAAACTGATTTGTTACGCAGTATTAAAAAACAAAACATGTACATGTACATGTACATGTACATGCACTGCATGTACATCACTACATCCCACTGGCGGGCCTGTGCGGGTTGCGTGTCCTTTCGGAAAGACTTGGATCTTTTTTTCCATGAAAAGTGAATTTCGATTTTCAATTCTTTAGCTTGACCCACCCACCCACAATTTGGAAAAATTGTCGAAATTTTTAAACATTGAAAATTCTGAATGGCCCCTAAGTGGCGCCACCAACGTCAAAAAATAGCGCCCCCCCCCCCCCAAAAAAAAAAAAAAAATACAACTACTAAGGGGCCATTCAGAATTTTCAATATTTTTAAATTTCGTCTTTATTTCCAAATTATTTTGACCCACCCACCCACCCCTAATTTCGATTCATAAAAAAACTGATTTGTTACGCAGTATTAAAAAACAAAACATGTACATGTACATGTACATGCACTTGCATGTACATCATTACATCCCACTGGCGGGCCTGTGCGGGTTGCGTGTCCTTTCGGAAAGACTTGGATCTTTTTTTCCATGAAAAGTGAATTTCGATTTTCAATTATTTAGCTTGACCCACCCACCCACAATTTGGAAAAATAGTCGAAATTGTTAAACATTGAAAATTCTGAATGGCCCCTAAGTGGCGCCACCAACGTCAAAAAATAGCGCCCCCCCCCAAAAAAAAATTACTTCTACTAAGGGGCCATTCAGAATTTTCAATGTTTTAAAATTTCGACTTTATTTCCAAATTATTTTGACCCACCCACCCACCCCTAATTTCGATTAATAAAAAAACTGATTTGTTACGCAGTATTAAAAAACAAAACATGTACATGTACATGTACATGTACATGGACTTGCATGTACATCATTACATCCCACTGGCGGGCCTGTGCGGGTTGCGTGTCCTTTCGGAAAGACTTGGATCTTTTTTTCCATGAAAAGTGAATTTCGATTTTCAATTATTTAGCTTGACCCACCCACCCACAATTTGGAAAAATAGTCGAAATTTTAAAACATTGAAAATTCTGAATGGCCCCTAATATATATATTACAATGTACATCCTTATTTTCCCCGGTATGTTATTGCATGGCGTTTCTTACGTCAATTGGAAATAGAGCCATGAATAATGGTATAGTCATAGTGATCGAACGAAACTTCGTTTTGATTAGGACAATAGTCAGTTGCTAAATATTTATTGATTCATGACACAGACCTTGGTTTAGTTTTGGATACTACCGTAGACCTGCCGAGCGGCTGTAAATATCAAACTTAACCAAAGTTGAAAAAAATAGAGATAAACAAAAATCAAAAAGTTATGTGCTAGCCAAGCTTTCAGGGGTCGGTCTGAGCCATAACAATGCCCCAGCCCGCCCCTTAGTTCTCTTCTGGGCTCTCGGGTGTCCCGGCCAATACACACTTCCTTCCCTGTCCATCCATATAACCCCGGAGGGCCAGGCACCATGTAAAAGCAAGAGCTAAGGGAGGAACAGGGCGGCCCCTAAGCCCTGATCCTCCGAGTGGACCACATGCCCTGAACCTATACGAAGGCGCCAACCTGGAACTCACGGACAGTACCAGCCGCAGAGCTTACCGATTAAGCTAAGGTACCGTTGGTAATTTACGACGGGAAATTAAACATCTTATAATGACTGAATAGAACGCGTGCGTTGAAAAGCAAAAAGACACCGACGGGATTCGATACCGGGCTCCGCGATTCGTGGACGACGAATCTAACCACTCGGCCATCAGGCTTCCTTGGAATTCTCCTCAAAAACAATTTGTCTTAATAATAGGCGGAGAAACCCGGAGCATTGCTGTGTGCATCTGTTTTGGCTCCATGGGCGAACAGAATCGAAGTCGATATTTCAGGCAATAATGAATCATCTGTTTTGTTTGGAAAATTGTATACGGCAGCCTCATTAGTCGTAGGCCGTGTGCTAAACATGTCTTGTCGTTACGCGACAATGAACACTATTATTATGTAGCCTGAAACAGGTTTAAGGGGCGGATCTCGAAATTTTGCCGGACTGGGGGTAAGGAGTCGGGCCCGTTAGATGTTTATATCTGATCTTATCATTTTTCATAATTGTACAGCCTATACATTATTCTGTGTGTGTCAGAGCGGGATTGGCGGGGCGGGATGGGGGGGGGGGGGGTCGACCCCTGCTGTGGATCCGCGCCTGACTTCTATTCTTTGTATTTTGGACAGGGACAGATACGGATTCTCAACTCCGCCACTACTACTTTAGTATTGTGCGGACATTTTTAAAAAAGGAAACGATAATTGTTTTGACAGATTTTTTAAAAACAGTTTAAATCAGGCCTGTATTGCGTTCGCTTTTCAATCCTTCATCAGCCTGTGATCAGACATTATTTTCGTGCAAAATAATGTGAAGAGCAAGTTTTCATCCTTAACTCTCAAAATACGAATATTGAAATGTAAACAAAAACAACCCTACACCAGGACACCACATTGCACTAGGGGCGCTGTTCACGATATTGGTATTTTATTTTTAGTACAAAGATTTAAACTTGGTGATATGTATGTGGCCTATTTTCAAGTAGTATAATAGGGGTGTAAGTGGCGCCACCAACGTCAAAAAATAGCGCCCCCCCCCAAAAAAAAAAATAACAAACAAAATACTACTACTAAGGGGCCATTCAGAATTTTTAATGTTTTAAAATTTCGACTTTATTTCCAAATTATTTTGACCCACCCACCCACCCCTAATTTCGATTTATAAAAAAACTGATTTGTTACGCAGTATTAAAAAACAAAACATGTACATGTACATGTACATGTACATGTACATGCACTTGCATGTACATCACTACATCCCACTGGCGGGCCTGTGCGGGTTGCGTGTCCTTTCGGAAAGACTTGGATCTTTTTTTCCATGAAAAGTGAATTTGGATTTTCAATTATTTAGCTTGACCTACCCACCCACAATTTGGAAAAATAGTCGAAATTTTAAAACATTGAAAATTCTGAATGGCCCCTAAGTGGCGCCACCAACGTCAAAAAATAGCGCCCCCCAAAAAAAATAAAAATAATAAAAAAAAAAAAAATACTACTACTAAGGGGCCATTCAGAATTTTCAATGTTTTAAAATTTCGACTTTATTTCCCAATTATTTTGACCCACCCACCCACCCCTAATTTCGATTCATAAAAAAACTGATTTGTTACGCAGTATTAAAAAACAAAACATGTACATGTACATGTACATGTACATGCACTTGCATGTACATCATTACATCCCACTGGCGGGCCTGTGCGGGTTGCGTGTCCTTTCGGAAAGACCTTTAATTTTTTTTTATTTCGTATTTTTTTTTTCAATTCTGTGCTGTTGTTCGTGTTTGTTTTTATCTGTATTGTAACATTTGTTCTTATTTTTATTCACATTCCATCTTTTACATATTTTGTCTTTATTCTAATTGTTGTACTTAGTGTGATTTTACATAATGTTCTTCTTTTCTATTGCATTTTATTCTTATCATTTTACACAGGGCCCTCAGTAATAGAGCTGTTTTTTTAACTGATAAATAAAACGATAAATAACATATAAATCAACGGCACCAAGATTGTCTCTTCATCGGTATCTTAAATTTTTTTTGGCAAAAAGGAAAGGAATCTGGACAGAAAGTGGGTCAGTCCGGAGTATTTAAGCTTAATTGTAGAGGGCCAGACTCCGGGAGAGAAGGGGGGGGGGGGGGGGGAGTAACTAGAGCTTCAGCTTGCATATTTCAACAACAGGGGGCGCACTCCAACATGGCGACTTACATTAGACCGGCGAGGAAACGAAAATGTAGTAAAACTATTCAGGAACCCAAGCGTCTTGTCACACCAGGAGACGTAATCACATCCGACACTGATTTTATGAGGTACATGAAATGCTATGGTTGAAAATGAAACAAGATTTTGGGACGAAATCGTGATGGAATTGTAGGCCTACATGTTCTGCACTGCACTGGCTGCCCTGGCCTCGTCTCATGGGGTCATGCTATGCTAGCCCCACTAGCGTGGCCGTCGGTATGCTGCGCTGAACCTCTGGCCACACACCGTGGTACCGCGCGCTACTGAGGACGAAGTTTTCATAAAATTCAGGGCAGTTTCTTACATTCTCAGTTTCTTACTTTCTTATGGTCATGGTTGTATTCTATGATGTCTCACCTATCACTTCTGGGATGCTTAGGTCTAATGATGTTCCATTTTCCGAGATATTCTTCAATCTTTCTGGAGCCCATATGCACTCGTGAAACGTCTGGTGGTGGCAGCCATTTTGAATGTGACAAGAGATGACCTCAAGTTGTGACGTCGCGTTTATGCAAATTGCTTGTCGAGCGCGCGAGGGCGCGAGTTGCAAAAGCCCTAAATAAAGTTAATCATTGGGTTGTCATGACAACCCAATGATAAATTTAGGACTGGGTAACTCCAGCTAGCCTACACCTTTTTTTGCAATTTTGAACGGCTTCTTGAATCTTACTAGGTCTAGGGTAGTAGTAGTTTTACTATAGTATTAGTAGTAAATCACAATTTTCCTGCGCGGTTTAAATTAGGGCCTATAGCGCCTACTGCTGGTTATTGCGTTGCAATTCAGCACACCTTGATAATAATATACAGTCAACCTGGAGTTGAGTTTTGGAGCGGCGGCTGTATATTTTACCCCACGACTATGTCCAGTACTTCTTGACATAAGTTTAGTCCACTCAAAGTGTACCTTGGTTGAATCGATCCCGATGGTGCAAAAAAATGATAAAAACAGTCCCATTTCCGTACCGAAGCTACCGTTTGAGATTTAACGAATAATGTGCCCACGAAGCGTTGTTGGCGTGACGTCAGAATAGCCAAGAGTCTTTCGGTCTGGGAACCGACCACAGACACCGTCTAGGGCCTATAGTGAATATCGAGGACGGCGTCCGACCGGCCAATCACGAGGCACCTCGTGATCGGCCCGTCTGATGCCGCCCTCGACGGTGTCTGTGGTTCTTCAATGGCTCCTCAGGCATGCACCTTATGATCAACACCAGACCCCCTGCTGTGTTTCGTCCCAACTATTGTTGGGATTTCCCAACTATTCCGTCCAAGCTGGGACAGCCCCAACTACAGTGGGGACCGGCCCAGGTATAGTTGGGAGCATTGCCGTACATTGTAGTTTGGGCATAACAGCAATACGCATGAGGGGACCTCTTGTTTGGAAATTCCACAGCTGTAAATTCATCCCAAGATATTAATTTCTTAATTCCTATGTTACTTCATCAACTCCTAATCCTATTCTCTTCTATTATTTCTTTTCTGCAACTACATGCCCTCTATAAGTTTAGATCAGATTAATTTAACCAAGATTTGCTGGGTCATACATGTATGCCCAAGGCTTCAATTCGACCCAAAATTCCAAGGAAGAAATGAATAGTCCCAATCTTGGGCACGAAGATCTTGGAATTCAAACCACATTTCTTTTAAGTAGCCATTCATTGTTTTTGTCATGCAGAGGACATGGAACTTATATGGAGGAAGACAAGCTCCATGCATCAGTAGCAGGGGTTGTAGAAACAGTCAATAAGCTCATCTGTGTAAAGCCACTCAAGACAAGGTGGGTCAATGTTTAGTAGAGATCTAGCCCCAGACACATGTAAATGTGTCTCAAATACTGGACTGCCGCTGTATTTCAGAGCCACGTAGCAATTCATTTCCTGAAACAGTGTAGATTTCAAATTCAGGAGACACAACTTTTTGGGAAAGTTAGCTTGCACCGCTCTGTGGCGCTAAATATGGAGAAGGTCAAGTATTTGAGACATTTATGGGGCTAGTTGAGATCAAGTGTTGCTATGTATTTTTGTGAATTAAGGACGAGCTGCTCAAAAGTGTACTAGTGTGCATGTACATTGGTTCAAATTAATAAGGGTATAAATATGAACTTGGGAGGTGTTAAGTGCTATGTTTAAAGGGAATATACAACATTTGCAAATATCGAAAAACAAAACTACCAATTTTTTTACGAAATACCTTACTAGGATGTTGGTAAATGACAGTCTAAAGCATCCTGTAAAATTATGGCACCATGTGTGAAGTCCTTTTCAAGAAAAGTGGTATTTTGTATACATTTCCTACGGTGGTCGGCCGACCACCGTTGGAAAAACCTAACTATTTTCAACTACTGCTCCAAATTTCCCTTTTTTCAGTCCAAATTTTGATTGCTATTGGTTACATGTTCTTGAACGGGTGCAGGCCAGTTAGACTGATTCCATTACCTTACAATTGATCCATTTCATCTTTAGTGGAGTCAGGGAACCAGACTACTTGAACATTTTTGGTTTTCTTGGTTTTTTAAGTATTTTTAAACACAAAACTTCAAACATGTCAGTGTAACAATTTAATCTGTTATACTAACCCCTCAAAATAGTTCATTTCCGAAAATTACAGCAAAAGCCAATGATGTACATTCCCTTTAAGACTGGTTGGAGTCTGGAATGCTGATAACTATCCGAGGCAAAGGGTAATCAAATGATTGATTAAATTTGTTCTTCACAGATACAATGGTGAAGTTGGAGATGTGGTCATTGGCAGAATAACAGAGGTACGTGTATCACAAACAAATGATTACAAACACTCTTTACTGCTCAGTGTATAGCAGTCAGCGAGTGTGTACTTCAATCAAAACCCTTCGTAAAATGCAGCAATGTTCAACAAGGTGTAGAATTCTTTGGGACCATTGTTGCAGTTGCATCAATGCCCCCCAGGGCTCATTGAACAAGGTCACTGTTGGATTGTGTTGTGGCTAACATACTCATTTGAATGGCTAGCCACTCGACTTGATACTGACTTGCGATGGACTTGTGAGGACTTAACTAAGGGAATAAATGTGTGCTCCGGAGGTTTTTATCACTCTGTTTAAGACCGCTTAGAGTCTGGGTGCTGATAATTACCCGAGCCGGAGGCGAGGGTAATTATCAGCACCCAGACTCTAAGCGATCTTAAACAAGCGTTCTTAAACAAGCGGTCTTAAACAGAGTGATAAATATCGACCCAGCACACATTTATTCCCATTCATAAATACCTTTTCGGTAAAAAAAATCAAATAATTTGTTCAAAAAATCTCGGTTTTGTTCAACAAGTTCACTTCATGCTTTTTGAAACATCCCTCTAGCAAAATAATGGAGTGTTCAGCTGGCGAGTAAGATGTAAACAACCCTTTTATGGAGATTGACGCGTGCGTAGCATGTTCTGCGCGATGTCGCGCAGAACGCACCTGGGGTGTTGCGTTTTGAATTTAGAACTATAAAATTCTGACTCACTGGTAGTGTTGCACACGCCTACGTGAGGATTGTGAACGTTCAGCCAATGAAATGGTAAGAGGCACTGGATTTTTAGGAGTCCACATTTTATGTGACACTGGAAAAGTGTTTAAGACCAACTAGCCATGTCTTTATCATCGGTTTAAGACCAGCCATGTGACGGGTTCTCGACCAATAGGAATAGCTAAACTGTCTGAGGTATTTATGAATAAACTATTATACACAGGTACATGTCATTACTTTTGCTATTGCCCTACCATATTTTACATGGATCTACTTTTGCATGCATTTGTGTGCTACCCTAAAGGTTATTCTTAAAAATATAAGACTAAGAAAGCAGTGTGCACAATTGATTCAGAATGGCTATTCACTGGGAGTCTAGCATCTGGTCTACATGTACACAATGGACTGAATTCAGTCCATTCGTTTCATTGTCATTGTGGAGTACTTGATACATGTACTTGGTACTTGGTTAGTTTCCTCCTGAAACATCCTCTAGGGATCTTGACTAGCAAGTCACAGGGAGGTGTTGGCATCTAGGTCTCGGTCACAATGTGGTTATAATAGTTGTCTCTAAAGGTCTTGTGCGTCACAGATTCAGTGATGTGTTGGGCAGATCATTCCAGAATTTTAATAGTCCTTGGCAAAAAAAGAGTTCTTGAATGCAGTTGCGCATGTTTGTACTATGTTGAATTGGTTGTTGTTTCCCCTTCTCGATCACTGTTGAGTCATCTGGTGGGTTTCCCTTCTGTCAGTTAACTTGTCCCATGCAAGGGACGATAGCATGTTGGAGACACTACATGTACTCTATTATCCCTATACAATAGCACTGCCCAGCTCACAACTCAGTTAAACAGTGAGATGTGTACAAAGAGGACACAATGGTGGCCCGCTGGGACCAGTGAAACTCTTTAAGATTCAACCTTATGTTATAATCTTGGATCAATTATTCAGGTAGGCCAAAAGAGATGGAAAGTGGACACCAACTCCCGTCTGAACTCCGCCCTGATGCTGTCTGCCGTCAACCTGCCTGGCGGGGAGCTGAGACGAAGGTCAGCCGAAGATGAACTCCTGATGAGGGAGTATCTGGCTGAGGGTGACCTCATTAGTGTATCCTTTGAACTTTAACCTTTGAACATTGACCTTTGAAATTTTACCTTGGAACTGTGACCTGTAGAAGAAAGTATAACATGATTTCCAGCAGGTTTGAAAACAGAAATGTCTCCAAGACCACACCCAAATGAGCTCTCAATTTATGAGACCATCAGATTTGAGTTGAATCCAAGGTATATGAACAAGGACTCCAAATTATTGGACTTTGAACAAAAAAAAAACAGTTGGGTTGTTTTAGTTTTCGGGATAAGTTAACAAAAAAAATTGTCGGAAGTCTAAATTTCAAAATAGTTTAGGTAAGACGTTAAGTAAAAATAATACAATTTTTTTAAATTGTGTTTACTTAAGTCTGTGGCCCGTTCTCGACGTGTTTTGCCTCTGAAAAATAATTTGAAGAAAACTTCAAAAGGTCTGTTTGCAGCAGTTTTGAAAATAGGAATATTTCCAAAACCACACCCAAATGAGCCCTGAGTTTATGAGACCATCAGATTTGAGTTGAATCCAAGGTATGTGAAGAAGGACTCCAAATTATTGGACTTTGAACACAAAAAAAAACAAAAACAGTTGGATTGTTTAAGTTTTGGGATAAGTTAAAAAAAAAAGTCTAGATTTCAAAATAGTTGACGTTGACTCAAAAAAATGAAGTTTGCACCTGAAGGCCGAAGTTGATTTTGTTTTACTTAGTCTGTGGCCTAGTTCTGGATTTGTATTGTCTCTGAAAATGATTTAAAAGAAAACTGGAAAGGTCGTGAAGGAGGGGAATCAAACACCTTTTAACATGAAACCTGCACATTCAAGATTCAGCTTATGTACATCTTTGTAATCATTGGAAGGCAAAGGTTACCAATTTTAAAAAGTTCACCCAATTTGCAAAACATTTCTGACACTCGTGCTCTGTTTGCTTTATTGATTGTTTCCTTGATGCACCTATTCAGGCTGAGGTGCAGTCAGTATTTTCAGATGGTGCTCTTTCAATCCACACAAGAAGTCTGAAATATGGAAAGGTGAGAGACACCTTCAGTCTTTCAAATTAAATTGATACATTTTCCAAACATTTCAAATGAGGCCTTCTGTAACTGCAATTGACTTACCACAAATACAGTGTATGCATTAACCCTGCAAGCTGGGAAGGGGCTCACGCGCTAGGCACTTTTTTGGTTCTTAACTTTTTTGATGAAGCTATCGCCCAATTCCCTTGAAACTACATGTATTCCTAAAGTGAACCTTGAGATGGTATGGTCGCTTTTCTTGTAGGAGTTCACTTGGGGGTCAGCCGTCCCTGGAAAAGTTGGGCCTCCAGCCAAAGCCCATTCACTTGTGCACAAAAAAAGTTCTTAAAAAAGTTCGCCTAGTTGATCATGAGGTGCCCTCACAACAATGTCATCAATCATCCTGGCCCAGTGACAGCTGGGGAACCTATTTAGGCCTTTAGAGAAAGGATTGTGTACACGGAATGGTATTTGACACCGAAATCAAAACTGCCTCACGCGTGAGCACCTTGGGAACTCGGCGTCAGTTTTTTTGCTTCGCAGCTCGCAGGTTTAAAAGGCCAAATGGGATGAGGCACCTTTTTGTCAGCTAGTGTCTGATTCCAACATCAGTACTGAGAAAGTGAGAATCAGTTTTGGGATGTTTGAAAGCTTAAGTTTCTGCTCAATAGCTAGCAAGCATTTGACTAAATAGCGAGGGAAAAGACATGAAACACAGACGATTGCACACAATTTGCCTGGTTGACTCAATAGAAACAGTTGGCAATCGACGAACTAGTTAAATTTTCAGTGAGAAGACGTTTAGGATCGGATACATCTATACATGCTTGTACTGCTTTGTAAATTAAATAGGTTGACAGGGGTCTGTAATTCTTTGTTATATATAACTGGACAAGGTCCCATTCTTAAAACTTGAGTTCTGTTTAGGCATCTCGATTCTTATCCAGAAAAAAAATGTATCGGGTAAAAGTTGCAGGATTCTGAACAAGTTGTTCACAACATTCCTGCTATGAAGTTATCAGCATTGATGATTGAAGTATTTGCCAATGAAAAATTTCCCCGGAACAAATGCAGAGCATCTTCCGGACAAAGTGAATGACTCTAACAGAAACTTGTCTGGAACTTGTACCGGATATGAAATGAGATGTGAGTTGATAGGTGTTAAAGTTTCTTTATTTAAAGGGAATATACAACATTTGCAAACATCGAAAAATAAAACAACCAAGTTTTTTCGAAATACTTTACAAGGATGTTGGTAAGTGACAGTCTAAAGCATCCTGTAAAATTATGGCACCTGGTGTGAAGTCATTTTCAAGAAAATGGTATTTTTGTATACATTTCCAATGGTGGTCGGCCGCCCACCGTTGGAAAAACCTAACTATTTTTCAACTACTGCTCCAACTTTACACATTTTTCCATTCAAGTTTTGTTTGCTATTGGTTACATGTTCGTGAACGGGTGCAGGCCAGCTAGACTGGTTCCCTTACCTTACAATTTTCCGGCATCTATAAATTGATCCATTTTATCTTTAGTGGAGTCAAGGAACCAGACTACTTGAAAATATTTGTTTTTCATGTTTTTTTCCAGCATTTTCGAACACAAAACTTCAAACTTGTCCGTGTAACAATATTTGATCTATTATACTAACCCCTCAAATAGTTCATTTCTGAATATTACAGCAAAAGCCAATGATGTACATTCCCTTTAAATGTTTGAATTGGTAAACGTTGCATCAACAGTTTATTTATTCAGACATTACTGCATATGCTAATCCTTTATATCTCTCATCCTCATTCAAGCTTGGTCAAGGCGTTCTGGTCACTGTCTCACCCTCCCTGATCAAACGACGCAAGACCCACTTCCACAACCTAACCTGTGGTGCCAGCATCATCCTGGGCAACAACGGCTACGTCTGGATCAGCCCCATGGCGGGGGCCGAGGAGGAGGAGGGTGGGGGCTTCATTCAGAATCTGGAGGTGGGTAAAAAATCAATGTAGACAATCTTATCGAGAATGGTGAAGGACTCTTGTCCGGAATAGTTTGGAGACCACTTTGCAGTGTTGTAGTGAGTCCATCACAAGTCCTTTTGCAATTCCAGTCTTTAAGGTAAACATGTAGTCCATCATTTTGAACAAACGTGCTCAAAATCTAAAGAAGGGTGCTCAACAACCAACTTGATGAAGTTTCAGCTCAACTTCAGCTATATATTTCAAGAAAAACAGCATTCTAGGATCTCGATTTCAAATCAAAAGTTGCTGAATCATGTTTTGAATTGGGCCTGCAGCATCCACCGAGACACGTTCTCACTGAACGTGATGTCACACACTGATCAAACTAATTATAACTGCTATGCGCTCGTGTGCGTCGTGTCAACGCTTGCGCGTGCTTCGCCGAATAAAAACAAACAAACTACTAATGGAAATTTCCAATGGTATTTCTTAAGATGCACTGTTGGAAAGGCCTTCTTTCGCTGATTTCTTCAAAATGACAGCATGCCAGAAAGAACAATTTCACCGAGAGTTTAGTCCCCTTACTATCTTTCAACCAAGTATGTTTTTCAACAATAATTACGTCTGTTACTTTTTGGACAGCTGCAAATGATGGACTGTAGCTTTAAGTTTGGTCACAAGTAATGGGATGAACAATGACAGCAAGTGACTTGACTTGAGACTGAAGGACGTGTGATGGTCTTGTGATGGACTTGCAGGGACTTGTGATGTGTTCGACTACAACACTGGACCACAACACAAGTGGTTTATGATGTGAAACTTTGCTGCAAATCCTGCATGGACAACTCATTGTCAATCACCTTTTGAACTTTATAACACCAAATTAAGTTTTGCCCTTTACCAACGTTTTAAACACTGTATACTCAGTGTGTTACCTCCCGAGTGAAAGTTGGAAAAAATCACTCGGGTGGGACTCGAACCCACGACCTCCTGCTTTCTAGTGCAGATGTCTTACCACTCGACCACCGAGCTAACGGGATCGGTTGGTCGGTTCGAATCTGATGTACATAGCAGCGGGTACCGCATAAACTATCGGTAAAGGTAAAACGTCATCGTAAAGGGCAAAACCTATTTTGATTTATATCACCCCGGCGCAAAAATTCCATCTTATAATAGTTTATGCGGTCGAGTGGTAAGACATCTGCACTAGAAAGCAGGAGGTCGTGGGTTCCAGTCCCACCCGAGTGATTTTTTCCAACTTTCACTCGGGAGGTAACACACTGAGTATACAGTGTTTAAAACGTTGGTAAAGGGCAAAACCTAATTTGATTTATATTACCCCGGCGCAAAAATTCCATCTTATAATAACGTTATAACATATGCTGCTGTTTTTGTTTCATATCTTAAATAAACAGGAGGCAAGCGAGGGGGGGGGGGGGCTGGTTTCTTACTTGCCCCCTACCGCCGTCCCGGCGATATGGTGCCATTTATTTGTAGGACATAAAAGCACCAGCACCTCACAACCGCTACAAGTAGTATTGACAAACCGCTTTTTTCTCTATTTTTGCAAATGGAAAAACAAGCAATGGAGCCACTAACCTGCATATGCCGCTATTGTAGAAGATTGACTGCAGGAGCATTGAGTTCTCACATGTGATTTGCACACAAACGTGGTAGCTATCACAGCTGATGAAGAATAATTATAAAATCATTCTCCTACTTAAATAGTGGCCTCCCGAGTGTAACATTGAATAATGCATTTTGTCTTTAAACCACGAAAGGAGAATGCGGGGTTTTAACCTGCGACCTCCAGATTACCGTTCATGTGCTCTACCTACTGAGCTATCCAGCCCTATGTTGGCGGTTCCCCATTTCGTCAATGTCTTTGGTCAAGGGCGCTAGTCCTATGGTTTCTGACTAGCACACTCAAACAAAGACACTGACAATCCGGGGAACCCCCAACACAGGGCTAGATAGCTCAGTTGGCAGAGCACCGGTATGGTTTTTCCGGAGGTTGCAGGTTCAAAACCACCTCCAGTCAAATTTTGCTGTTCAAATTTATCATTATTTAATGCATTTAAGTGTTATTTAATGTATTTTTTTTTCTTCAGCCTGTTCTACTTTCAGATAGGGAGGTCATGACCAGACTCAAGAACTGCATTGTGGGATTAGCTGAGTATCGCATGATGCTGTACGACACGAGTATTCTGTATACCTATGAGGCGTCACTAAAATACACAGTGAGTAAAAACAAATCTGCTGCATGGACAAACAAGATTCAACAAAGATTTTTGAAATTTAGAACAGTGAAGGTTATTAAAACAAACGAGTTGGTAAAAAGCTGAATATTTTGAGAATGTGAAGTTATTTGAAAATTAAATATCTTTATTTATTTTTTTTTCTCTCAAGTTTTCTTGCTTTTCAATTAAGATTCCATAAAAGAAAGAAGCGGTCACTCTTTCAAATTTGAAATTGTTCAATATACATATACATTGAATAACTCACAGACAATTTGAAGGTTATTCTGTTATGCATAGGATGTTGTAGTCTGAGTATCACCCGTTATCCGTGGAGCCAAGTCTCTGTATAACATTTGATATGTCAAAGCATGCAGAGTTAGAAGAGTAGAAAAATTTCAACTTCTACGACGTGTTCAGCGACAATCAGACAATTTCTTAGTTTTGTGACCTGAGCATAATTTTTGTGCTTGATGCCGACGGTTCCTTCGTGGCGCAAGCAAATCGTGGGTCAACCTGAGGCCGGCTTTATATCCATTGTCTCTGTCATATGCTTCAGTATGGTTAAGGGCGACAAACTGTTTTTTGGTTGTAAACAAATGGTGTGTTTGTTTTTTCTGCAGCTTGAAGAGCTTCTGAAACCAGAGCTCATGGAGGAGGTTGTGGAAGACACAAGGCGGAGACTGGAACAAGAGACATAGCAGAAAGCAGTCAACCAGATATGGAGAGCCAAAGAGGAAAAGAAACACGCCTCACAAAAAAAAAAAAATAGTACACCAAAAAATGAAACGAAAAAAAATCAAAAGAGAAAATTTTTTAATCCCTTGAATTAAGTAGCGTCCCACTAGACATGCTTTCTTACTTTGTCTTAGGGCCATTTCGACTAGCATGGGTGTGCATAAAATACACAATGCTCATGTATTTTCTTTTTGGGGTAAGATAAACACATTATAAAGTATTTGAAAAGAGTCAGCCGAAATATACGGTTTCACACAGCGAGTTACACCCAATTTCGCTTGTACAGTACTCACATCCTTGTCTGTCTGATCAGTCCATTTCATCTCATCATGATCATCAATGATCACACCTGGACATTTGGTTTTATGAACCCTTTTGAGAACAATGTCATTTACCTCCACATCTAGAGTTTTGCTCTAGATCCTATGATCATTACAATGGTTTTATCATAATTTAAAACAAGACGATTTGTATTCAGCCAGCTAGAGATCTTCATCAAGGCAATAAATAATTTTTGTTCGAGACAACACCAGCAAGTCGTCTTGCCATTAACTGTGAGAGTTGTGTGGTCGGCATACATGAGCTACAGAAACTTCATTTGGGTCAAAATAGTGATAAAGTCAATAGCACATTTCATTTTTCCAACTTACTTCAGAGGGGGATCTATACCGACTTTTGCGGGGGGGGGGGGGGGGAGGGGGGGTGTTTACACCCGTCAGATTCAGGCCCGTCAGATACATATTAACCGCGTTGAATAACTTTACTTTGTTGTGTCAGAGCAGGGGAGGGGTTCGACAACCCAAACCCCCAACTCCCCCCCAAAACCTCTGGATCCGCGCCTGCATGTCAATGACTGTAAAAAGCAAGTCTATAAAGCCCCATGTAATGTCTTTTTAAATTCAATCCTTAATGTGCATTTTTGTGTTCCGCTTGACTTTGTTTGGTTTGGGGCTTTGTTTTCTTGTGTTTTCCTATTTTGTGAAATGGTATATTTTTGGGAAATGTTCACAATTAAAGAAACGTTATTTGAAACAGGTATTTGAGATATAACAAGGTACATTTTTATTTTTCCCGGTACAATATTGCATACTTCGTTTTTTACTTCAATTGGAAATTGCGACATTACTAATGGTATTATATAGTCATATTGATCGAACGAAACTTCGTTTTGATTAAAGTCAATTATTAAAAATTCATTGCTTTATTACATAGACCATTGTTTTGTTTTTAATAATACCGTAGGCCTTCCGAGCAGATGTAAATTTCGAACTAAAAAAAGTTTTAAAAAGATAGAGGATGAAAAAAAAATCAAAAAGTTATATGCTAGCCAAGGGCCCTATCGATGCCCCTTCATAACCCCTTAGCACTCCTCTGGGATCTCGGATGTCCCGGCCAATACACACTTCCTTCCCTGTCTATCCATGTAACCCCGGAGGGCCAGGCACCATGTAAAAGCAAAGAGCTAAGGGAGGAACAGGGCGGCCCCTAAGCCCTGATCCTCCGAGTAGACCACATGCCCTAAACCTGTACGAAGGCGCCAACCTGGAACTTGCGGACAGTACCAGCCGCAGTGCTTACCGATTAAGCTAAGGTTGTATGGCGGGAAATTAAACATCTTATAATGACTGAATAGAACGCGTGCGTTGAAAAGCAAACAGACACCAACGGCACTAGATTCGTGGACGACGAATCTAACCACTCGTCCATCATGCTTCCTTAGAATTCTCCTCAAAAACGTGGAACATTGCTGAGCTGTGTGCATCTGTTTTGGCTCCGTGGACGAACAGAAGACTATATTTCGGGCAATACTGAATTAGTCAACTGTTTTGTTTGGAAAATTGTATACGGCAGCCTCGTTAGTCGTAGTTCTAAACATACTTATCGTTACGCAACAATGAATACTATTATTGTTTACGAAATAGACACTAATCCGCTTAGAAATCTTTGTTCAACTTTTGGGGCTGACAGGCTGCATACCAGTAGGTTGTTAGTTGAGTGACTTTGAAGTGCCGTCGAGATAATGGAGCAAGACCGGCCTTTTACCGGCCGGAAGGGGCAAAAAAAAAATACAGGCCGAGGATCATACCGGCCTCAAAGGTCCGGTACAGGGCAGCGCAGTGGAAGAGGTCAGATGTAGCCATCCAGAAAATTCTACCTCCTAGAGAGCACATGGCTACATTAATTGGCAGATATAGGCCTATATGACGCTTTTCAATTTTTTTTACCAATAAGGCGGGCGTATTGGCCGCCATATTGGCCGCCATATTGGCCGTTGAATTTGAAGCATGATAGCAAAAAGGGATACCAGAAATGAATTTGTGAGGGTCAAAAAAATCATATAACTAACAATTTTATTGATGATTTTATCATATTATTAGGCTGATAATGACTTTTTCAATTTAAAGAAAGATAGCAAAAAAAAAAAAAAGAAACCAGAAATGAGTTTTTGAGGGTCTAACACATATAACTAACCATTTTATTCATGCTTTTATTATATAATTTGGCTGATATGTATATGCCTTTTCCCCCAGTTTTTACCATTTTTGGCGGCCATATTGGCCGCTATCTTGGATATCTCCAGAGCATCGGATTTGTTTTTACCGTTAACATCCAAAAAGTGTTTAAAGACCCTAAAAGGCACCCAAACAATTAAGTGTTGGTTAGTTCTGGAGGGGGGGGGGGTGCACGTGGGTCCCCATACAAACTTTACTAATTGTTATTGCAGTTCTTTGTGCACGCAGGTCTATTGTATTTAATCTTATGATAACACACGTGTGTACAAGCTGGTTTCTGACAATTTTTCTGTAAATGCACGCCATTTTTACTTTAGAACAATATCAACATGTCTCCCCAATTTCGAGAAATCTGCCTTTGAAAAGGTGAAAACATTTTTGGAGCCACCCTGTAGATCGAGAGCAATCAGCAGCCATACAGGGTGAGTAAAAAAAAAACGAAACCAAAAATGTCGGGACCATTGTTTTAGTGACGTTCTGCATGTAGCACTTTCAAAATATAGGATATGAAAGCCCAATTCATAAGCTTTCTTTTAGTACAAGAATCATTCAAATCACTTATGTACTTTGTAAGTTACGGAGTTTTAAAGACAACCGACGTTTCAGGTTCTGTGCACGGATCACAAAAAACGTTCGGTGTTCTTTCAGCAAAACGAAAACAAATCACATAGGGATGTGTGTGAATTGTTTTTCGTTTTGCTGAAAGAACACACACTTTTTTTGTGATCCGTGGATAGAACTTTAAAGCGGTGGTTGTGTTTAAAACTCCGTAACTTGAAAAGTACATGAGTGATTTGAATGATTCTTGTGCTAAAAAAAAAACGCTGATGAATTGGAATTTCATATCCTAGATTTTGAAAGTGCTACAGGCAGAACTTCACTAAAACAATGGTCCCGACATTTGGGTTTCGTTTTTTTTTACTCACCCTGTATTTGAGGTGTGTTTTGTTATTAATGCACAAGAAGTCTATACTCCTGCATATCCCTGATGAACGAAAGGCACCTCAAACATGGCTGCAGTACAAATGATCTATCTTGAAAAGTAACCTACAAGAACTTCAACAAGATCTTTGAGGCAGATACTGCAAGGAACGAAATATCAGACCATGTATTACTATTTTGATATAGAAATTCCAGCAAAGACTATTAAATCATGACTGGTAAGTTTCAGCGCACACACATGTATTATTAGATTGCCGTTTACGTCACTGAGTCCTGCGATTTATTTTCATTTCGTTTATTATTTGGCAGGTATAAAACAAAATATACATATAAAAATATATTAAGATGTATATGTATCAACAAGTAAGTACAATTATGGAAATCAGAGGGACAAATAAGCGAGTAGGAAAAAGAAAAAACTTAAGTGCACCCTGCAGGATCTTTAAAAAGTTAACTTAATAACTATAGAGTAGTTCTCAAGGTATTCTCCTTTCCTGTCAAAAGGAAATTTTTGGAGAGGAAAGCTTTCAATTTTGCTTCCTAAGCTGAGCTAATGGAGGTTTTAAAACAGCTTTGTTCTTCAAGTTTCATGGGAAACATGAATCGGTCGAGCTTTTACCAAACGAAACGTGACTTCGTGACTTGGTTGTTGGTTTGCCCGAGGACAAAAGCAAGATAGGATTGAAGGGATTCTTTTCAATTGAAATCCATTATGAATCTGTCTTTAATGTTTCGACCATTGTTACAAATAAATGAAAACCACAATGAAAGCGTATGCGTCTATGAGCATTACTTCCAAGTTAATTGCCACATATGCTTTTAAACTGGATAAACCTTGATAGCATGAGACCTGCACGAAATTTCATCACAAATGAAAACATAAACCTGAGTCTTGTATTCAATCGAGGAAAAGGAGAAATTCGATTGATGGTAAACGCTACATCAATACGAAGTGGACCATCTGCTTTGATTCACTTGTGGGCAATATGTCGGTTTGAAAAGTGGAATTGATTAAATTCTAGGCACTCAAAGTTACATCAGTGTGTCGGTATAATAAAACGGGGTTGTCTTGTCTTGAAGTAACACACCGCTGCAAAAATCTCCAAGATGAGTGCTCGGTCTATTCTACGTACAGTCATCGGGAGCATTGGCATCCTGGGTAACTCTGTCGTCTGCATTGTCATCGCTAAAGTTCCGGCCATGAGAACGCTGACCAACGCCTTCATCTTCAACCAGGCTCTGATCGATCTACTCGGCTCGTTGTTCATGGTGCTTCACAATAACATCAGAGCACCGAAGGTACTGCATCCCAATGCCGTGATCGCGACCATCCAGTGCTACATTTGGCAGTCAAATGTCATCCTCTGGGTTCTTTACGTCGCATCGACTTTGAATCTGGTCGCTCTTACATCTGAGCGCTACGTGGCCATAGTGTACCCGTTCAAGTACGTGACTTACTTCGGTAGGAAACAGGCCACGGGTATGCTTGTTGCAGTTTGGGTGTTGGCAATCGGCTACAAAGGCACCAATGCGTTCTATTATCGAATGGAGGATCGCGCTTGCGTGTTTGCCAGTCTGTCTACCGCGGCGAACGTGGCATGGGGAACTATTGCATTTCTCGTCGAGTACTTGATCCCGTTGATTTTTATGTCTTTCTGCTACGTCCACATCATCCTTCAGCTGAAGAAAGCTTCGACAAATGTCCACGCCGAGCCATCAACCAGCCAACAAAGCGACAATAGTATGAGTGGTTCCCTTCTTCGCGCCCGACGTAACACGTTGAAGACCCTCTTCATTGTCTTTGTGACATACACCATCTGCTGGTCGCCCAATCAGATCGCCTTCTTCATGTTTAACGTCGGGTTTTTCTCGCTAGATTACAACAGCGCTTTCTATTTTATCTCAGCGGTGCTGGTGCAGCTGAACTCTTGCATGAACCCGATCATCTACGCCTTCAAGTACAAACAGTTCCAGACAGGTGTACGAGTTTTGCTAGAACCGTGTTTCCCGAAACTGGCTCCTAAACGCCAGCAGGAATCGGTGGCAACCATTGCTGGCAACCACCGCCCAAATT